AAGACCTAAAACCACAAAAAACATAGAAGAAAATCTAGGCAGTACAATTCAGGACATAGGCATGGGCAAAGGCTTCATGACTGAAACACCAAAAGCAAGGGCAACAAAAGCCAAAATAGACAAATGGGATCTAATTAAACTAAAAAGCTTCTGCACAGCAAAAGAAACTATCATCAGAGTGAACAGGCAACCTACAGTATGGGAGAAAATTTTTGCAATCTATCCATGTTACAAAGGACTAATATCCAGAATCTACAAAGAACAAATTTACAAGAAAAACCCCCAACAACCCCATCAAAAAGTGGGCAAAGGATCTGAATAGACACTACTCAAAAGAAGACATTTATGCAGCCAACAAACATGAAAAAAAGCTCATCATCACTGGTCATTAGAAAATGCAAATCAAAACCACAATTAGATACCATCTCATGCCAGCTAGAAAAGTAATCATTAAAAAGTCAGGAAGCAGCAGATGCTGGAGAGGATGTGGAGAAATAGGAACACTTTTACATTGTTGATGGGAGTGTAAATTAGTTCAACCATTGTGGAAGACAGTGTGGTGATTCCTCAAGGATATAGAACCAGAAATACCATTTGAGCCAGCAATCCCATTACTGGGTATATACCCAAAGGATTATAAATCATTCTACTATAAAAACATATGCACACATGTTTATTGCAGCACTATTCACAATAGCACAGACTTGGATCAAACCCAAATGCCCATCAATGATAGACTGGATAAAGAAAATGTGGCATGTCTACATCATGAAATAGTATGCAACCACATAAAAGGATGAGTTCATGTGCTTTGCAGGGACATGGATGAAGCTGGAGACCATCATTCTCAGCAAACTGACACAAAACAGAAAACCAAATACCACGTGTTCAGCTAATCCACACTTTCAGTCAACACTGTGATGAAAGATTTTAGGTCCCTATATTCATTAATAAAAATAAAATTTATCAAACTTAATAGGAAGCTGAATATTTTGATGTTTCCCTTTCAGTAACTGAGAATAGAGGTATTTACAACACTTTTTATCCTATTGTGGCGCTTCAGGCAAAGGACCTAGAGAGTGAAATTTATTTGCTCTGATAATTTCACTGATTGAATGACTGTCACAGCTGGGATGACATGCAGAGAAGAGGAAACACAGTTCCAGAAGGAAAAAGAAAATAGACATTCAAGAACATTGTGGCTCTATTATTGCAGATGAGGAGGCTCATATAGTAGGCATAGTTCTTTCCTCCTTTTAAGAGTGATTTTATCTTTTTCCTCCTAGATTTCCTTTCCTTGGTGGCTGTAAGAATCTGTGCCTTTGCACAGTAGCCTCCAGAAGCTTGTAAGCAAATAAGATCTCTAACATTTACAAAATGTCTTACAGTTTACAATGCAGTTTCACATACATTATCTCCTTAGATGCTCACAACATCCCTGATCCTGCTGTGTGGATTTATTCCCACTTGATAAGGAAGGATACTGACTTTCAGAAAGGTTAAGTGACGATTCAAAGTCATGCAGCTCATTTAGTGGCAGGGTTCAGATTCAAGCTAGTAGGTTGTCAATGTTTCGTCAGCCATGCATTGAAATTCAGTGACTGATATGATGAGTGGCAGTAAATAAGTTATCAGAAGCTTTTCTGTAGGTAACAGCTTTTCTGGGATGCCAGGCCTCTGCCAAGGACAGAGGTCACAAAAAATGTGGAGACTATTGCACATATCCTTAATGCTCCAAAGATTTCACCGCACTGCAAAGGGCTCTAACTGGGTCTCTTGAATTCTAGTCTTGATTTGTCCACTGTGTTTGGAATCTTGGGCAACTTAGGAAGTTTCTCTTGTCTCAGTTTTTCTTTTCATTAAATACAGTTAATGATAATGTTACCCTAATAATATCAGGATTGTTGTAAGCATAAAGCAAATAATAAACATTATCTCAGAAAGCTTGAAGTGTAATATACAAGCTAGAAAGGCATTGTCATTCTTGTCAATAATAATGTAATAAATATTACAGGAAGGCTTTAATTTCAGTTAACATTAGACAGATGTCCATGGACCCCGTCCTACCACCCCAGCAGGTAAATACCGCAGTAGCTTCCTAGAATTGTGTGCATTTATTTTTCTAAATTTTAAAAATACCAAGACATATCAATATAAAAATTATCCATATTTCTAATATTGAAAATTAATATAAAATAAGAGTATGACATCTCCTGTCCTCCTCTCCCCACTCCTCCCCTCTTCTTCACCTTCCCTGTTACCTCCCAATCCCACCGCCAGAGTTAATTACTTTTGACTGCTTCTTGTTTTCTTTGCCTTAGTTCCTGGATTTTTATGAAATGTGCTACACTAAGAAATAATATTGCCATGCAAATAATGACCACACCTTACAATCACACAGAGCCTTATAGTTTATGAAATACTTGCTTGAGTACTATCACCTTTGAGCCTCCTAAGAGCCCCTGAGAAGTGCTTATTATGACCTTTGGTTTGTGGTTCAGTCAGAGTAATACCATGGAATTAAAGGCATGAATTCTGCAACAATCACAGTTTAGCAAGGGAGATAAAAATATACATATATATATATATATATATATATATCATGCTTATATATATTTATATTTTATATTTAAATTAAATTTTTATTATATATATAATATAAAATGTTTTATATTAAAAAGTGTATATATTTATATATTTTTAAAATATATATGTAAATGTATATATATTTAATATTAGAAAGTGTATATATATTTTTATATATTTTAAATATATAAAATATACTTTATGTAAATAAAACATATATATCTGTTGTATATATGTATACACATATATAATATGTACATATATACATAACTAATTCTGTCTAGGCCTGATAGAAAAGAAGGGCCAGGAAATATTTTAAGAGATTACAGTAGAGCACAATTTTGAATAATGTTAAAATCTAGAGAGCAGTGATTATTAAGGTTAGATCACTGGAAAGAACTCAAATCCATATCTGTGGCCCCAAGTCCAAGTTTCTTTCTCCCACACTTTATTGTACAGTTTATGGTTTGCCCATTCAAAGCAGGCGTGTTTTCTGTAATATTTAACCAGGGTCAAAGGAATTTCCCAGCTTCAAAGACATTTAGTGCAGCTGACAGAGACATGTGATTGCCTGAATGGATTCTAAAGTTCATAGAATTGCCAGTTACTGTGAGAATACCCTTGATGTGTCAGGATGTGTATGGTGTAAAATAGAAGAAGTAAGGAAAGGTTTTTTTTGGAACATTTCTCCTCAAACCATTCACACTTCCTGGCCCTCTTGCTGTCTCAGGCTTCTGAGGCCTCATTGTGATAACATGACCCAGGCTGCCTGGTCCTTAATGTGGGCCTAACCCTAAATTATCCAACACTGACTAGCCAGTGTCTCATAATGACGCTCAACAGGTTGCAGTGGAATCTGCTGTGAGTACATTGCCATGATGTGATCAATTACTAATCGTGGTGTGAGGGTGGTTTATGTAGTGAATGTTCGGTTCAGTTAGGCACGGGATACATAGGAACTACAGTTCCTTGACTCAAGATATGGCTTTCTAAAGGTGCAATTTGAGATGTGCTGGCTGAGGAGGGAAATATGATTTGTGTTTGGCAGTGGAGGATTAGAAACCACCAACTCTGTTTATGTGTGATGCTGGGTCTCACAACAGCACGAGTAACTGTGACCGTGCTTAGATTATTTATTTGTTTTCCATGCTGGCGGTGACTGGCTATTTGGGGGGAAGGAAGAATGAAGGTTTTTCTAAGACAAAGGACAACACACGGAGTGTTCAGCCCAGAGGGGCTCCCTTCCCTTGGCCTTGTGTCTTATCACCCCTGTGGCAGGAAGGAAGATGCCTGCTGGGATTGACAGCTCTGGCAGGGCCACCTCCGGTTTCCTGTTCTTTGGGCTGCCACAGTGGCAGGGGGCAGGTAGCAAGGGGGAGCACTGGCTACCAGAGAAGGGGTAGCTTAATGAAGCCAATAATGATTCAGGAATTAGGGGAGAAAAAGCAAGGCTTGAAGATGTCCTATTTGTTTCAACCAAGAAACCCTATTATTTGGACTATGAGAGTCCAAAGGCCCTTCCAATGCCAGCACTCAGTGACTTCGTAACTATGAAGGGAAGCGGCAGAGTGGTATTGGGGAGTTTCCGCTAAGGGAGCCAAAAGTTTTGCCAGCCTTTGCCTGTCCCCATGACACCTCTTTTATTTCCTGTCCTTCCCATTTCCATGGCAACCTGCATGGGTAGTCACTGTGTCTATTGTCTTTATAGCTTTATCACAGCAGGTAGTACTGTGTCTGACACATAATAGAAAATTAATAAATATTCGACCATCCTGGCCAACATGGTGAAACCCCGTCTCTACTAAAAAAATATGAAAAATAGCTGGGTGTGGTGGCGCACCTGTAGTCCCAGCTACTTGGGAGGCTGAGGCAGGAGAATTGTTTAAACCCAGGAGGCTGAGGTTGCAGTGAGCGGAGATCGCGCCACTGCACTCCAGCCTGGCGACAGAGCGACACTCTGTCTCAAAAAAACAAAAAAGAAAAGAAAAGAAAAGAAAATTAATAAATATTGTTGAATTACCTTTATGACTATCTATATTTATCTGAAGTAAAATCCTATTGAACTATTTCCTTCTATAGTCTATTCAGACTTATCACTTTGGCTAACAGACAAACTTGTACATAGGAAAAAAGGTTAGAGGGAAATTATCAAAATATTAACAACTTTGAGAAATATAAATATGTTTATTTCTATTCTGTTTTGGTTTAACTTTCTTTTTCTACCATTCTATAATAAAAAAGTGTGTTAACTTTTATAATTTAAAAAACCTTAGCAAACTTTATTAAAAAATGTAAAATTTTTTGGGGGGGAGTCTGTTTTCTGAAGAAATAACAACTATCTACTGACTTCCTATAATGTTTGGGTGGGGTGCAGCCATGGGTGGGCTTTTGCGTGCATATGTACACATCTACATATTAATATCTGTACATTGCTCCAATGGAGGTGTTAAGTCCTTCTTTTAAAGTTTAGTATAGCCAAATAAGAAAGACAAGCAATATACTTGGTAAGCTCTTCCAAAACAGTAGCATTACACAATTCCTCCATGAACATCTGCAGAAGTGCTTCCCAGCTTCCCAGCTGATTAATTCTACAGCCTCATCTCTTTCTGAGCCCATCTCCTTGCGCCCCAGCATCCTCCACTGCTGCCATACTAAATTGCTTGTAATTCCCTGAGGAAGCTAAGTCTCACCTATCTCTGCTTTTGTATGTTTCTACCTAGGAAACACCTCTCCTTCAGAATGCAGCTCACTGAAGTGTCACACACTTCATAAAGCCCTTTCTGGCTCTTTTCCCAACACTATTCTTTACCTTTATGGACATCCTTTGGACATTCCTTGCACCCCATGAGGGTTCCGATCACAGGTCTGCAACCCTGGACTGTGCTTATCTGTACAAATTTGTTCCTCTACTACCGTTTGGTTCTCTGAGGATGTGCAGCAGGTCTGAGTGCCAGAACCTAGCACAGCTCTTTGCACCTACAAGGACCTCAAGCGTTGTTTGATAAAGGAGAAAAACTGACCTCAGCCTGCCAGTCCCAGTAACAGGTTAACAGCAGGTGATGACATAGTGGGAAGAGGTGCCTGTTTAAAATTATAATGGAAGTCAGAAAAAGTGGAATTTACAGCAGCCAACTTTTAGAGATGTAAGCTGACTTGCCATTTGTTTTAGATCTCCCAATGCATTACTTTGTTGTTTTTGTCTAGAAATGTCATCTGAGATGATGCTGTTTATATCTTGTCTATCACAAGTTATACAGTTTGGTGGTAAGAACACAGAAGCTGGCTTCTCTGCTGCTATGGTAATCATTGCCTGTAAAAAACCAAAATGAAACAAACAGCTTTTATCCTTGAGCCCATTAAAAAAATAAACAGCTTTGAGATACTGCCTAATTTAGGTATAAGTGTTCACCCCATATACTCCGAGAGACAACTATGATAATTATAATAGCACATTCATTATATTCACAAACATTTGCAAAGCACCCACCATGTGCCAGACACTGTAAGTCCTGGCATGGCTCTTACCATGGGGACTGAGGACAGTAGGTCCTTTCTACCATGCTGTGGCTGGGAATGTAGCTGCTTCTTCTCTTCTCCCAATATCCATGGTGTACCATGCTCTGACCTCAGTCTGAGATGAAAAGCATTTAACCAACACCTGAACATGTGAAGGGAGAAAGCCTCTTCTCTTTTCCCATGGCTCTTTGATGAGAGATGCACCAACCACGGGGTTCAGAGAAAGAGGGAGACCATCATCACAGGGAGATACAAAGGTAAGGAGAGAGAAAAGAGGTTTCCATGTGCTGATGATGGGGTGGAAGGGCAGTAAGACAAGAAACTTGAGAAATGGGAATTGCAGCAAGGAGCAATCCAGACAAGAAATGTGTAAAGAAAATGAAATAGGAGAGAAAAAAAGATAGATGGAAGCTGGGAAAGAGGGTGTGGGAGAGCTAGAACTAGAGAATGAGTGGTGAATGACAAAGCAGTTGTGTTACTTCACTGTGTCTGGGTTGTGTGCTTCTCTTGGGGAACCTGGGGCCTCTCATTGTTTAATGACTTTAGTCCAGCTTGAGATCCTGGGTCAGCTGCCCAGGCTCATTTATTTCTTTATAAAATGCAACCTATCAAACTTAGAACCTAATGAAGATTCTTCCCTTGGCATACTAAGGCCAAGCTGAGCATAGGGCATGATCTGGTTCCTGACCCACTCTCCAACCTCATTGCCTCCCACTCACCCTTTTGCTAAGTCCACGCTGGGTTTCTTACTGTTTTTCAATACACCAAACATTCTTCACCTGATTTGGCCTTAACATGAGCTGTCCTTTAAGCCTAGAATGTTCTTTGGGCAGATATTTACATGTCTGTGTTCCTCAGTTTATTCAGATCTCTGCTCCTAAAAGCCTTCCCTGACAAACCTGTTGAAAATAGCTTGCCTTAGCAATCTTCATGTCTAAACTGTGATTTTTTTCATATCACTAATTACCATCTAACTTCACACATTTATCCATTGATTCATTCAATCATATATTTATCTTTGTCATTTAGAAGATAAGATCCATGTGTTGGGAGACATTTCTCCATGAGTCCCTCACACTTCTGTCTTTCTTGTGAACAGAGACATGGACTTTGTTGCAGATGATCTCTTCTAGTACATTTGTATAGTAAATACCCTTGAAAGTGGAGATAACGTCTCTCTCCAGAGCAAAGACCAGGAAAGCTTAGAGACCGATTAGAAAAGATTTAGTTCCCTAAACTCAGTGTTCCTCTCCTGTAATACAACCCACTGCGTGTTCCACTGTCACCTGGCTCCACGTAGCCCAATTCCCACAGGGTGATGCCACTGCAAGAAAAGGCTGTTACACTGCATCTACTGAAAATGTTGAAGGCTAACTTTTAGCTTGCAAGTAGGGAAAATGCTTTAAGAGTAGATATTCAGCTGTTTAATTATATCTTGGTAAAGGTCCTTCCCACACTATCACCTATGCTCAGATTCCCTGTTTCTCTGTTAGCCACTATTGGTGTCTAGAGCACAATAAATTGCAACTGCCGTCAGTGAAGCATCCAAAGACCTAATCAGGACTCATAGGGAAATTTCCAACCGGTAGGGCTGATCTCAAATCTCCTATCTCCACCAGATTTGCACCCAGGAAGTCAATTTAGATAATCCCCTGACTTTTCCCCAAGGCTTGCAGAATTTGGATTTTATTTGTGGGAGTTATTTATAGAGAGTTTTCTTTGTGCATGAGCAAGGCTGAACATTTATAAGGTTGTTTTGGTATCTCCCTGATCCTCAGCTGTCTTGAGAACATTTGATTCAAAGGGCAATTTTGTAGCTAATGCTAGTGGATCAGTTTGTGAGACTGAATTGCTGTTTTGCCTGACTTAACCTAAGTGTGGTTTTAAAGAGGTATAATTATTTATTTGCATTGGTAATAGAGGCACATGCAACAAACATTATCTTCAAAGGTCTTATGTAATTGAATTATTATAGATCAATTTGTATTTTCTCGTTCAATTATATTACAATTTTAGAGATAATATTACTTATTCTTTTTTCTTAATGGTCTACAAATGGAAGTGATTACTGCCTCAATTGTCATTCTCCAAATGTTTATTGAGCACCTATAATGTCCAAAGGATAGTGTTAGGCTTGCAATAAAGTAGGCAAACAAGTGCACCCTAATCAAGTTAGAGCATGATACGTGTCTTAAATATAAACAAAGGGTTAAGTATCAGTATAAGAAAAATGCCATGAAGCTTTCAGGAAATGGAGTGATGGGGAGTGAATTTGGTTCTTATAGCATCAAACGCAAGGCTTGATATAGACTAAGCTTTCAGTAAGTGCTTGTATAATTGAATGCAGGAAAGAGAGCATATCTTTTGGGGAAGATCAATGATTTTATGGAATAAATGTTATTTCATATGTATCTTGAGAAATAGGCTAATGCAAAATCTCTAGGAAAGAGTCCAACATTTTAGTAAATGTACATGAAAGTGACGAGATGGAATTCTCTGCCTTTGAACTCTTTACTAACATTTTATGACTTTGTTTTCTCCTCTGTTTCTAATACTAAGTAGTATTTATAATTATATTATTAATTATTAATGACTACATATTATACAATATAATTACTACTAGTAGTTGTATTATGTTAGTAATAATATAATTATATGTTGATAATTACAGTAATAGAATTAGTAGTAATAATGACTAATTAGTTGAGTTTCTTTATCATAACATGTTAATCATTGTTGTCTCTTCTAGCCTAAATAAATAATTTTGATGTTGACTAATGCATTGTTTTTATATTTCCAAAGTAAGTTAGGAACCAGGACCACTCTAGACAAAATTGTAGTAAAGCAAGGGGAATTTGTCATTAGTGTTCCTTCCCTGGGCAACATATATCCTAAAACATTATACCTACACCAGTATAGACCATTCTTGGTTCCCAAATCTTAAAGAGTTCACTGTTGGCTAATCCATAGCTAAGTTGCTTGATAAACAAATGGCAAAAAAAAAAAATTATATTGTAATGGCTTGCTTTTCTCTAGCGTTACATATTTAAAGATGGCAGCATGGAGCCAATCTGACACTCATGGTCTTAAAGCAATTATTCAAATAGTGGGGATTTTGTTCACCATGACAAGCTGGTGGTTGAAATATACTGCACACTGCTACATTTATACTATCTTCTTTGGAATCATAGAATTTTAAAGCTGCAAAAGACGTTGGATATCAACTTTTAAAATAAGGAAATTAAGGCCTAGAGAGATAAAAAACAAACAAGTAAGCAAGAAAATAAGCAAACACAGTTTATCTAGTCATAAATCAAGCTAGCAGCATCAAACTAGATGAGATGAAAATTCGGCAATTTTAATGTATAAGCTAGAGTCATTGCTTATCATTGTTCTGAAATAATTTAATTTCTAATTAAGACCAGGGGTCAAACTGATAGTTAATGGGTCTCATATGAAAAAAAAAAATTCTGAATATTATGATTCAATTATATATTACAGATATTTTTCTGGTTATATCAAAGACAAAGCAATTTTCATTGTAGAAAATTTTAAAACTAGTAATTTCTAGGTGACTGCTCTAAGGTCATACAAAGTGTCAGTGGTTCAGCAGGGATTGGGACTGAAATTATTGGCCTGCTCTTCTTTAAAGTTTTTAAGTCCCAGAACTTCTTCAGTGGACACTTATTTCCCACAATATTCTCAGTAGTGTATAAGTTTTAAACATGTAAATTAATCTATAGTCAAGTATTTGTGAATGTATTTAGGCAACTGCTATCCGAGATCCAAAGAAGAATAATCTGTGATGTCAAGGAGTTTCCGTCTGGCTAGGAATTCTCAAGGAGTATTTTCTATCCAGGAACAAGGAGGTTAGATAATCATATGGCTTGTAAGCTTCCACATGTGGTTTACACCTTGAAGTAAGTAATAGTAACAGAAACCAGAGCAAAGTTTTTGACAAAAGGCCCTAGAAGCTCATAGATTTTCTGTCTGACATTTTCACTCCTTTCAAGCCCCATATTAATGATGCTGACCTTTTTAGTAATTTGATTCTGACAGTGACACAGCAGCAACAGTACTCAAAGGCTGATAGCCTGATGTGGGCAAGCTGGGGAAGTAATTACTGCTTTAAATCAAAGAAGAGCTGTTTGTGCCTCTGTAGCAGGAAAATTCCATATTAAGCAGAAACCCTTCCATTCTCTGAACCATATTGTATCCATCATCTTTCTGTGGGTTTACTTCCCAGGGCTCAGAAAAACTGACTGCCCATTCGTGCTTCCAGGCATAATAAGCATGCTTTTTGTTGGTTTGTTTTGTTTTAAAACAAGGTCTTGCTCTGCTGCCCAGGCTGGAGTGCAGTGGCGTGATTACAGCTCACTGCAGCCTCAACCTCCTGGGTTCAGGTGATCTTCCTACCTCAGCCTTCCAGGTATCTGGGACTACAGGTGTACACCATTACACCTGGCTGATTTTTTGTAATTTTGTAGAGAGGGGGTTTTGCCATGTTGCCTAGGCTGTTCTTGAATTCCTGGACTCAAGTGAACACAGACCCTGGATATGTCAGGCAAAGATTTCAGAATCTAATAGATAAATTCACAATGAAATGAAGGACCTTATGAAAACGTATTTTGGCCATATAACCTTCAGGCCATAGTTTTGGATAAGAAGGAAAAGAGCAAGTTAAAGAATATTTTTAACTTAAAAAGTATAAGCAAACACAGTTTGCAAAAGGCTAATTGGATTTTCTGCCTAGCCATTCCTTATTTCCCCATGGCATTGCACTTTTCCTGGAAGAATTAGATCAGGCTGGGCAATTTAGCTTTTGGTTTGTAACCAAGTTCATTTCCTATCCCTTCTGGGTTTTAGCAGAGTTCTCTTGTAAACTCTATAGGAGGGAAAAGGCACATTCTCACACTCAGAGCCAAGATTTCAAACTATTTTTCAGACATCATTGAATTTTCTAATTATCAAATTTACTTCTCCAGCATTGTACTGGCCCATTCTAAACTGTCTAGTTTCTTATATCTACTGATGATCTATCCAAAGGGCAGAGACTAAATGTGGACTTCTTGCTCCTACTTACTGAATTTCCTCATTTATGGGGAATAACTCATGCTTAGTCCCCATGAGTATAGGTCCATCATTAACCTACACAGCACCTTTGGAAAATGGCAAAATATCCCATCTTTTGCTAGATGTACAAATTACCTAGCAGAGGGTGATTTTCTGAGAAGTAAAAAAACCTCCTGGCTCTGAA